CACTTTCTCCAAGGGTAATCTGTACTGCTTTGTATTCCGAGTGTAAACTTCCTAAACAGAGAAACACTTATGACGCTGGCTCAAAATTGTCAGGAAGGGATTAGAGGTGCAGTGTGAAGCCCCCTTGTTAACAGAAATTATATAACACATCCCCATAATTAAGCTAAGAATTTTATTATTTTGTAAAACAATGTGCTGACTCTAAAAACCCCCTTCCCTTGTGGGGCCCTCAGTGGAAAGACTGAGCAGGGTAAAGTCTGTGTAGCTACAGAAAGGGAGGCTGACAGTCTATCTAAAACAGAGATGAGCATAAATGGGCCTTTTTATCAACAAAGTTAGGTTTATGAGTCTGTCCTGCAACAGCAAGGTCAACAAGTTTGAGAAAAGACTGTGCATAGTTAGCGTTGTTTGCTCTAATTGAGAAAGCCAAGAGCTATCTCAAATTATGGCTTAATTTATTTCAAATAGGTCTTTCTTTTCAGCCTTCTACAAACTAATGCATTCCCAAGCTAACAAACTCTTGGCCTCATAAGATATGTCTCTATCGATGGTACTACTTTTTAATCTCAGCAATGTAACAATAAAATAATATGACATATTTGAATTAGCCTACATCTTTTTTAGCACCTTTCTGTGTACCTCAAATTCCACCACAGTACAACCCATAAAGCTGCTGTCATATTGGCATCATGTTTTCTTCTATTTTGGTGCATTTGAAAATGACTTAAATATGAAACATGAAAAAATGTCTATTATGTCTCTAGCAAATGTGTTGCATATGAAACACTTTTTAATATAATATTGAATAAGGAACATTGTATAAGGATTAATAGTGTAAAATCTACCACAGCGCGTAAATTACTCATGTAATCCCCGGGATGTCTCGCTCTTTTTGTTTTTCCACACTTAATGGTCGCCTGACCTAGAGTTAGTCAGTTCCTTTATAATGTTAATGACTTGAATCTCTGCTCTGAATCAGAAGCCATGACTCCATGGAGCTTCAGCAAACTCAACCAGGCCACAGAAACGGACCAGCCTTAGATATCGGTCAAACCAGTTTGTTGAGTCGACCTAGCAGCCTGGTTTAGCAGGATACAAATCACATGCTGTTATACCACATGGGTTGGAAGGGAATTCTTATGTGTTATTTACTTGAAGCATCTTCATCGTCAAGGCAAACTTCTGCAGTTGCACACATACAATAGTTCAAGTGTGACATTTTTGGTGATCAAAAGTGATAGGTCTCCTAAATCCTAATAAGAAGTTATTTGATGTTTTTAAAAAAATAATCTATTACTCATCATAAAGCTGACATTTAATGTCAGGTGGCTTGAATATATTTTATGAGAACATTTTAAACATATTATCAGCCCAGTTTTAGAACCTTTTTTGTTTTCTATTTTCCCTGTTATAAATGTTTAATTCTGCTCAAACTGATAATGTGAATGAAAACTACTGTTTTATGTGGCTCAAAGAGATTTTTATTCAATTCTCCAATTTGTTTATTAGGAGCTTAAGATTTCTTTCCACATATGAGGTAAGCAATGTTTGCCTGGGCGGATGCTTCTACTGCAAGTTCCTGAACTCGGGTATTTTTGTCTGAATGAGGTTAACTGTGTCTCTGTTTTCTACAGACAAAGCCTGTAACCTAACCTGCTCACTCAGTGTTGACCTCAGCCCTTGTTTGGTGATTAATCATCTCTTCCAGTACACCTGTAGCTCCACTGCATCAGCGCACAACAGTGCAGTCGACCACAAGCGCAAGTTTGCAGATAGGCAGAGCTCTTAGTTTTAAGAGCTGGGAGTTAAGGAACAGTGAGCTAATCAGCACTGTTTGATCAAATCGTTCTAAAATCAAGTAGGTAGTCATTCCTTTGATAGCAAAATGGCACAGCACACATGCTGCTGCATTCTCTTGCTCAACATCACAGGTTAAAGGTGAATGCAGATTGGGCCCTGAGGATAGGGCGATACAATCACTTTTTCCCCATTGTACAGGTAGTAGTGATCATTGGTCGGTTTTCATATTGGAAACTAACTTGTTGTTTAATGTTTTCAAGTAATGGAAGTTTTCTTTTTTTTCATTTGCCACATCTCAAAGAACAGACCCCCTCCATCCGGCACCTTCACCGGTACGAAAAAACCACTTCCTGGTAGTTTAGATCAAGGTGCCTCTGTGCATACGCCGCACAAACAGGAAACAGCCCTCTTTCATGTGCTTCAAACTGTGCATATTAAGTTCTTCTAAAAAAAGGCTTGCAGAAGCTTAAGTCACCTGCTTAAGCTTGAGAGATATTTTAATTTTCTTCTTTTCCTCTTGCTTTGTCTTTGATGCAATCAAGAGGTGGCACAATAAAAGGTATTGAAGAAGCTACCAACTGAACTTTAACATTATCAAAGTTGATTTAAGCCAATATGGACCAGAGTTTGACAGCCCATAATAGCTATGTTAAGTTTTTCCACTAAGATGCCTACACTTGCTTTGTTCAAGTTTGTTTCTTCTTTATTTTTTTTACAGGGTTTTTCTCTTTCTCGCTGCTGTTAAAAAGGCATGACAGAGTTTTCTAAAGATACTGCCACCTTTGGCCTAAGCACAGAACTGCTGTGCTTTTCTGCTTGTTCCCGTTGCTCGCACAACGTACATAACAAGGTTTGTTTTCTTTTACTTTTTCCACCGTATGCCAAGTAGCGATTGGTGTCTGAGTTGAGCTGGATGGTGGTCGGTTCTAAGTATCAACAAAATCCATTTTAAATATAACACCTCCATTGTTAGCTAGATAGGACGCGTTTAATAGGGACGCGGTTGACGTCACACCAGCAGAAACATTGCAGGAACCATAGCCCAAAGTACATCAAGGGAAAATAGTCTGCATGCTTATAGATGCATTGGTGCAGGACTACTAAGGTGTCAGTCTGCTCATCAACCAATGTTTTAGTTGGAAAGGGTCAAATGAAAAAGGCTATTGTAAAGATATTTTCTATAAAAATCTACAAAATGTCTTTATAATGGAAAGCAGGTTATCATCAACATTAAATATTGTATTTAAATTCAAACATTTGGATGCAATATTAATATTATAATATAAAATAAAGATTCTTAAAGAAGCTCATTTAAAGGGACCTATTCAAGCTGGGACAGCCTTGTAAAAAGTATTGATAGTTTGTCCCATTAGTTTTAGCTCATAACTTGGACTGGACCATTCCAGCAAGGATTTAAAGCATTCCATTACAACTTATAGTTTTTTTAGTGGTATTGTCCTTTGGGTCAACTTTCACCCTGGTTTTATGACTTTACACGACGTCTTAAAGAGGTTATTTTACAAGAATATCTTCTCCGACTTGTAGAAGTCTTCATGATGCTGTTTAATCACTGATGTTTTTCTAATGGACCTCAGAGGCCGTCACAGAGCAGTTGTGCTTACACTGCATGCAAGAGGACCATATTTACCATTTAGGGGATTTCTTGAGACAGATGGTTGATCAGATGTTTTCTTGAGGTTTGAGAGTGGCTGTTGTGAATGGACGGTTCATTATGGGTGGAGTAAGGAAATAAGATAGAAATCTATAGGGCTTAGGTTTTGTGAAATAAAGCAACAAGGAGGCCTCCATGGGTCATCTGCGATGGGTCAGCACCCACCATTGTGCAGAGGAAAGGGAGTTCCTGTTCAAGCTTCTTTTTTGCAATCTGAGAGTGCATAAACACTGCTAGACGGAAATGTCCAGCGAGAGGGGAGAGGAACAGCTGAAGAAGGAGAAGGTTGGGTATATGGAGGGAAATCTGCAGTTTGTTTTATACATTTGTCTATCAGAAAAAAAAAATACAAAACATTTCATCCTTCTTTAGAAGAAAAACAAATGTGGTTAGCAAATACTCAGTTGTTTGTTGTGTCTCGTCCAAGAACATCTTCACACTTTATTGATCGGTTTGCAGCTTAGTATCAATGATCTGGTCATTGCCTGAGTGCATAACTTTTATTCTTGGAAACCTAATGGTTACGGCATGCTCTGATCAATAATTAAGCTGAAACTAGGAGTGTTGATTCTTTGTGTAACCAAACCTGCTCAATCAGACTTTGATTATTCCCGGGTCAATAGCCCTGACTGCAGTCTGAGCAACTGTCCAATCAACTCTCACAATACTGAAACTCCCTTTTGGTTCAAGTCACAAATCTTGTATTTCAACGCTACTCTTATTTTCCCTTAAATTGTGCAACTTAATGCAAAGCAAGAATTTGAATCAATCGTTAAGGTTTGGCTAAAATACCACCAACAGAAGTGCATTATAGAGTTATGGGTTGGATATGTAGTCATGCTAAGTAATATCTGGTTATGATGATTTGTTTCAGATACATGAACTCCTGACATACCCACCTTATACACAAGAGGGTCACAGGAAAACCTGAGACTGTATAACACTGTTTACACCAGTCTCAATGGTAAAAGATGGTAGTGACAGAATCATACTGTAGTAATTTTCTTTAGAAGGAATGAATATGAGCAAAGCTTTATGTGGGAGAAGTGGCATACAGAATCTTAAAGATCTTGATCTACTGAATCAGGAGGAAATTATGATAAACAGTGTTATGTTTATGCATTAGGGGCCTAAAACTCATAGTTTGAGATCAGAATATCTGCAAGGTGCTGAGACAAAAAAAAAAGCCATCTACAGATTATCCTTCCAACCTAACCAGATTGATTCATTTTGTATGAAAGGAAGAAAATTTCCATGTCTAGACATGCAACCGTTACCAAAAAAAAAAGTATGGCGATAGTGTCATGCCCTGGGCAAAAAAACAAACACTATCACCACCATCTTTCAATGAATTTGGGCATTTAGTGCCAAGAGCAGCAGATTTTGGAATAAATATCTTTAAACTTTTAATCTATTATCATGCACCTCTTTGTTCCTCCAACTTTAATGTTAAAATAACCATCAGATGTACAGGAAAACGTACTTAAAATCCCAAAGTTACTCAAATACACATAACTCAAGACACATGTTAAGTTTTCCAAAAAATATGGGGTTTATTGACTTAACTGCAATCAATACTTACAAAACAAAGAGGGAAAAATAAGTTTTCATATAAACTCACAGAAATTACTGTAGTGAAAATACACAAGGCCGAATGAAAAGATAAAAAAAAAAAAAAAGATACATTCAACAGTTTCACTTTCTTTGTGTCAGAATCCTTTCACCTCTTCCAAAACATGTAAAGGCAACACAGGACGAGCGACTTTAAAAACGGTACTGTTTTATCAAATATAAAAAGGCCTAGAAGCCTTTAGCTACCTGGAATGTATTTAAAGAGGCACTTTCGCTGGTTGATAGGGGGCAGAGCAAGTGCGTCAAGCATCCAATCAAATTATGAAGAAAAGAAAAACTTTCCTCAACTTTCCTCATTTGGTCACAGCTATTGCTTGAAATAACCAAAAAAAAAAACTATTTTAAAAAGATTTTAGTATAACCAGGCCTCAAATTGGGACCAGTTATTTTCCCCTAAAGTATTTCAATAGGTTTATTTTATGTAATAAACAGTTGGCAACTGCTACTGTCAGACTGTTGTAGGGAAAACATCTGGAATGGACACAAGCATATCTTGTTTAGATGAAATTGCAGTCCAATGAGAGGGAGTAAGAAAAGAACAAAAAAAGTATAATAAATAATCAAAAACACAAAGTTCTTTCTTTGCATTTTTTCTGCTTTAAATTATTCATTTCTGACAAAGTGTAGTTGCAGAACAAAAAGTCATTGAAAGTACAATATATTAAACTGTGAAAAAAAAGGAAAACTGACAAAAAAATGTCTTCACAATCTTTAGATTAATATGGAAGATCATAATTTAACATAAAAGAAAATATATTCTATTGTTCATTATCCAGATAAATACAAAAAACAAAATTAACAAAAAATGCATATGATCACCAATAAATATGTTCTGATAAGTTAAATAAGCAGTGACACGCAAACCTTCTGTCGGAAAGTTTTTTTTTCAAATAATAACCGTAATAATAACATTAATAAAAAATAATTATCAATGAATGAAAGAAAGGGATGTAATGAGTACAGAATGCTCAGTGGAGCAGTTTGTAAAGTGGGGGAAGCTTGGAGATCCAATCTGAAATGAACCATGGGAATTTCCCCAGATCAGAGAGGAGAGGTGGCAAAGGCATACAGGTTTAATGATCAGTTCGATAAAGACTTCCTTCCCCAAAATAATGAAAAAAAATAAGCCAGTGACCAGCAACAGGAGGGGAAACTCAGAGGAGGGGGGAGTATATAACCAACTTCCAGTTCAAAAGTCCTTCCTGCAGACTCACCCAGATTAGAAACAGAAAATGGGACTTAAGGAGGACCAACAGCGGCGCGGGAGCAGGTAAGCACGAAAAACAACAAACAGTAGTCCATTCACCCTAAACGCATACGGAAACCGCCCCAGGCACTTTTTTTTAAACCTTTTTTTAAAAAACTATTCATATATTTCAGGGTCTGTTACTTTTGACTCTTAGTCTGTAAAAACATCTGCTGTAGAGCTACAATTACATTAGTGAGCACCTTCTAGCTAGCTTAGGGGAAACGATGGCATCAGGGACAGCGCAGGAAGACGGGAGGGAAGGGAGGGTTGGGTTAGTGCAATGCACTCCCCTTTCCAAGGCCACTTGTGCTGCTACACATTCACGAATGAAAAAAAGAGGAAAAGAGATTGGGGAGGGGGGGGGGTAAACAAGTGGCACCTGGAAAAACAGTCAATTCTTGTTCTTGTGGTTTTCATTGTTCAGTTTCCGCTCCTCGTTTGGCACTATGACACATGGCATTTCTAAAACTTTACGTGCAGATCAGCTGGGGTGGAATTATAATTTTGTTCCCTTACTGCAGATCCTTGCTGATGTAAGGATGTAGTAATCAAATTAAGGGAGAACAGAAGCTCAGGGAAGGGAGCAGAGGTAGAGGGGAGTGCCTCTTTGTATCACTGATCTCTAGATGTGTGCCAGTTACTCATCAGAGATTGAAAGGCGGCTGAAGATGGGAAGGCGGCGGCTGTTGTCTAGCGAGGGAGACTCTGAGCCAGAGCTGCTCTGGTAGCCTTCCTGGTCTGACAGAGAGTCTGGGGGGCTAGAAGGGGGCTCGAACAGTGGAGGAGACTCCAACATGGGTCTGAAGAAGTAAGGTGTGCCCGTTGGAGAGGGCGGTGCGGCGCTGTTGGGCTCCGCGCCTGCAGTACCGGCACTGAGGCTAGGCCCAAACAGGTTGGCCAGCTCCTGGCTGGAATAGGTGAAAGGGTTGCTGCTGGGCCAGTTTGGGACCTCATCTGGGAAGAACATGGGTGGTGGGGTGACAGAAGTCGGGCTGTCCCGAAGCCCACCAGAGCTGGAGAAGCCTGCAAAGCTGTAGCTGTGCTGCAGCCGAGGCCTCTCCAGCTTGTTGGAAGAGTTTAAAGGAGAGGACTGCTGTGGAGGTCCACGGCGTTCCTCGGCATTGTGGATGAAATGGCAGCGCGGCCCGTAGGGGCAGAAGCCGATGGTGTGGAAGGTGCGGCACAGCTCTGTTTTGTATTTGGGATGGCGGCTTAGGCTGCGCAGTTCGTGCACTCCATGGGCAAACTGACACTTGTCGCCGTATTTGCAGGTGCCGTTCTCCTCGAAGGGCCTACAGAGCTCCGTTTTGTAACGGCTGGAGTTCACCGGGCTGCTGCCGCCGCATGTAGGGCTGGAAGGACCCATGCACTTGTTAAGAAGCCTCTCGCCCGTCTCAGAGAAGGAGCGGTCTCGCATGCGGGTCTCCTTGTTGTTGCTGCTGGTGTTGCCAGACCCCGAGATGAGCGAGGAGTGCTCCACAGTCTTCAGGCTATTCAGAAACTGGTTCTGGCTGAACTTTGTGCTGCTGACAGAGTGCCGCCGATGGTACACGCCTCCCATTGCTGGAGATCCCACCGCCTTCCTGTCCAGCAGGGATCCGGCGGCATTGGAGATGGGCACATTAGTGCCAGTGCAAGGGACAGACACTGGGTGAGGGCCCCCCAGGTTGTTGATGTAGTTGAATTTATTATTCTGCAAGGAAAGAAACAAACTATATGAGAATATATTCAAAAATGTTTAACCAGAACATAGCAGCTGTAAAATCTAGGCCACAAAGCTCTATAGCACATGACAAGACTGTTAGTCTGGATTTCAAGGCACTACAGTAATCATTACCAGACTCTGATCTCTAACAGTCTTTTATGATTGCAGACACTGGATGATCTGATGATGAATGCAGCTAGATAGAGAAGCTCAAAGAGAAGATTGACCTCACATCCCCTCAGCATAATTCTGCCACCACCATGCTTTAGAGTGTGGACAATGTGTTCAGAGTAATACTAAATGTTGTATGAAATAAGCTTTACTGATCCAGATATAAAATCACAATAGTGTTTTCTGTTTACTAGATCGGTGAGTTTTGAAAGCAACAGATTGCTCTGGATTTTATATATGGCCATCAGCATAAAGGGGACTGAATAGAAACGCAGACCTCCTATTGCACGGCACAATTGTTCCTTCTGGCTCCGACAACAGAAACGGATACAGGCCTATAGAACAGCAGCTGGTTTGGCAAGTTGCCCTGGTTAGGAATGTGTGTCTGTTTAGTGAAATGGAGCAAGAGCAGCACATGGGAGGCCTGTGGGCTGCCTGGTTTGAAAGACAGCGATTGAGAGGCAAAACATCCTGCCGGACCACAAAGAGAAACTTGGGTCTGCATCTCAATACAACCGACCAAACCGTTAAAGGTGACCGACTTCCATTAGAGTAAAAGAAGCAACGGACTAAAGCAGATGTTTGATGAAAGAAAATGCAAAAAGCTAAATAAAAATAAGTCGTCACTCAATGGGTATCAAACAGGGGTGAAAATGGTGCAGGCATAAAGCTTTCAACATTGAAGCATACATTTTTATCAACTTATTAGATGTAAGGTGACGTCTTTTGCAGATTTGGTCATTATATACCCAGCTTGTTTGGCATTATTGGTAATATATTGCATATACAAATATTTGAATTAAAAATGTAAATAAGTAATGTTTAATGTTGTTCCATGAAACTAATTTAACCATTTTACAACGACTTTTCTCCATAACACAGAAAAACATGTACAATAAAGCTAAGCTTGCTGATACAAATAGTTTATTTACAGGTTAAAAAAATAGATTTAAGGATAAAGAGCTACCACTTTAAATACAGAACACTCATACACAGCCCTGCATAGGCGGACAGTATATTACTCATTATGTTGTGATCTGGCTTGTTTTTAATGAAGTCCTCACCCTGAGACTATCAGCTGCCCTCTGTGAAAACCTTTTGCACGCGCCCCTGGGAGGCATGATCATTCAACATCTTCCAGGAGCAAAGACCGAGTAAAGCTCAATATCTCCTGTCAATGATTAGCGAGCATGTGGCGGCTGTGATTATTAAAAAGCGGCGCAAAAACCCTCCCTCTCTGAAAGCAAGCTAATCTCAGGCCTGTGAGCTTAACTGCAGCAACAGTTGGCTTTAGCTGATGTGGCACATGCTGAAAATGAAAAAAAAAAAAACACACACCCAAGTTTACCATTAAAATTAATGTTAAACTACAAGCACAAACACGCTCAGAGTAGCTGGGAGATAATTATTAAACCCAAACGCTCTGCTGGGGATGAAGTTAGTTGAGAACAGGGGAATATTTTAGAGTTTAAGTGAAGAAAACAAGCAGAGAAGAGAGCAAAACAAACCGGGCTGCGCGCAGAGCGCCGCGCGCAGCGCAGGGCCGCGTTCATTCCTCCACACTCAGCACTGCAACACGCCAAAATAACGCAACATTTGGTTTTAAAAGTGCTCAAAATACCTTGTTTATCACTTCAAAGTCGAAGAAAGGCGACACCACTGCTGTGGTCATCTTCCCAGTCACCGAGTCGGGTTAGGAAAGGGGGAAAAAAGCGTGTGATAATAGTTAGAAAAGTTTGGCAGGTCTTTGGGATTCGCAGCTCGTGTATTTTCCACCCTGCAGCCTCCCCCTCTGCCCCGCCGCTGCTTGGACATTGGCTTTAATAGCGCAGGCAGGAGGAGCTTCAAACTACCGGGGCGTTAACTTTGTCAACTTTTTTCTTTTCCTTCCTCTTCTTTTACAGACAAACATTTTTTTTTATGTGTTCTGGGTTGTCAGTTTCTTTTACATCACCATGTGGCTGTGAATTCTTAATAACAGAGGGAGAACTTTAGCAAAGATTAAAAACAGTTTTTACACCAGCTCCAGAGCCGGTTCAAACTTATATGAGGCCTTAAGCAGAGTTTACTCAGGGCCCCCCCACCAGTCAAACTCACCTGCCACTACAGCATTGATCTTTTTATACTAAAAATGTTTGCATTCTACATAAGACAACATTTGTTTAGCAGCTATCAGCTGTAGCTATATATTACATTTGATTTGTGTCAGAATTATGTTTATTTTTTTCTCTCTGAGGAAATAATCAACCTTTTTATTGACATCAAATAAATTGATGTTTATACTTTATTTCTAATAGTTTAAGGCTTTCCTGCACGACAAAGTATTGAGGCCAGACTACAGAGAATTCTGTTGTTGAAAGGCTGTAATATTATGAGAATGAAGAAGTAGAATTACAAGAATAAACACATAACATGAAGTTTTAATCTCATAAATGTATTCTCATTATATAATATCCCTAATATATATATATATATATATATATATATATATATATATATATATATATATATATATATATATATATATAT